GTCTTGTCTTGTCTTGTCTTGTCTTGTCTTGTCTTGTCTTGCCTTTATTTCTTTTCTTTTCCCTATTGTTTGCCTTTCTTCCTATATTTACGTAACTTCGTGGTATTTTACGTTGTAAATAATTTCAGTGTCGAAGATCATTTACAAGATCTTTTGGAAATCTTTGCGTCTAGTTCCTGTGACGACAGCGAGACACCCTTCAACATATTGCTCACTGGGATTGTAGAAACAGGAAAATCAAGTTTTGTTAACAGTATCTATAGCATGTTTGCAAGAAGAATAGTATCGTTAGCTGAGAGTAGTGGTTCTGAAACAAGGATAACAGAACAGATGAGAATTAGACCTTTATTATAATGTCCTCTCTTCACTTAGAGAAAATGATGGCTCTATAATGTAACTACCTACTGTCATCTGAAAGATAATCAAAGAAAWTTTTTTTTAGAAAGTTCCACTACTTTTGACTAAATATCAACAGAGTTATGAAAGACCAGTGTTTTGTTCGTTTTGGTGATTTTGACATTAAAAAAAGTCCCTATATCTTTATATTTATATAAGGATTTTTGCCTGAATTTTAAAAACTTACATATGTTATCTGCGTTATCGAGCCCTATCGTTTCACATAGTCACATTTGGAAAAATAGTTATCAATGAGTATACTTATTTGTATATGCCGCCATTATTATGACACAGGGAGCCCATATCCAGTATCAATTTAAAATATCATCATAAGTATATCATCCTTTTATTTAATGCTGTGCACACGTTACAAGAAACATGAGTTCTGATCCATGCCGGGCGGCGTCTCTTAAGTGTTCCTTTCATTAGAGTTGCGTGCACGCCCTTACGGGATTGATTTCAATTCAGATTTAAATTTACTACCAGCACGCCGGGCACAAACGACCTCAAAAACGGCATGGGAAAACGTGCCCAAAATAAAGAAATCCTAATAATTTTGTTATTCGACGTCCAACTAAGCTGAAATTTTCATAGAATATCGGGGAAGTGTAGGTTTGTAAAATGATTCATTTTTAGGCGGTTATGACGTTTCTTTGACGTCATGTTTGGTATCTCCTTTTATGGTAAATTCATATCGTTGATCGCTGTCTTTATCACTTGACTTGATCAGATGGAGAGTATTGTGCAAAGCATTGCAATGGTGATCGGAACTCGCTACGACGTTTCTAACTAAAGTTATTGAAGATTAAAGGATTTGTGACGTCACCTAATTTGACGTCATCTTGAATTGTAAAATACTCTTAAATGCTGTGGAACGAGTGACTTCTCTGAGCATAATTGTTACTTAGCACTAAAGCAGTGTTGCTACTCAAAAACATCTGAAAAAATCTTATTGGGTTAACTTATATAAAGATTTTAAAATTCACGTGACGTCATAATGACGTAAGCATTATTTCTTGCCTTAATTATAGCGCTTTGGCTTCAAAATTCAAAAATCTAAAACGATACGATTTTAGATCATTACTAGTGTAGTTTATGTAGATATTTTAGTGCGACGTTGTTGTGAATTCGAAAAGATGAATGAAGCGATAGTTTTCATCAATGCTTTTCAAATTTTTTTTCCCGCCATTTTTTGGCGGGAAAACTATAAATCTTAAAATTTCTATAACTTTTGACTGCCTTGACCAATCGAGATACGGTTTTCAAAACCGTGTTGGTTATATCATGAAGCGTCTAAAACCACATATTTAACGAAGCATGAATGATTTTCAAATTATATGAAAACCATTGCAAAACGATATTATGACGTCATTATGACGTCATACCCAAAACAGTAACGCTAAAAACTATTTATTTTAATTCGTCTGGTCAACCCTGATATTCTTGCCAAGTTTGATGAATATCTGATTTGTAATTTAGAAAATACACCAACGTGGCCGTTTTCGGGTGCCTTTGTGCCCGGCGTGCAGCGGTCTACGTTACTAGTGTAGAGTATAGTGACAATAGATGAAACTTTCGGAATTGTTTTGTACCTTATTCTGGTACCCAGAGCCTCCTCATTTTGTGATGTGTACATTTTATTAATAAATCTATTACTTCGATGCATTGTGTGGCTACCGAGTCACCCTTCCAGAGCACGTGATGCGAAAGCACGTGAAGACAGTTTTTATTCAAGGACGGATTCAGCCAACATTTGAGGGGGGGGGGGGGGGGGGGGGGGGGGGGGGGGGGCTTTATTCAGTTTCTTCCGTCAACACAACGGAAAACAATATAAAAGAAGCATCTCATTCTTCAGTTGTTTTTTTTTTTCTGCTGAAGGGGGCTTCCGCCCCCATTTTCCCTCCTCCCTCCCCCCATGTATCCGCCCTTGGTTATTATCTTGTCATCAGCCTTTAAGGAGGTATGGATGGACATTGTACAGTCTGGTAAGGGCTCAAGAAATATTTATTTGATTCCATCGCGTAAACAATTAAATTTGTAATTTTCCTTTCCTTGCAAAGTCGTTTAGAAAATCTTCTAATGCTACTGCTTTGACCTATATTAAACTGAATGATGGTCAGTAAGGAGGGAACARTTTATGAGTTTAAAGACTATACTTGCCACAACGTTAACCAATGTGATAGGAGTCACACTTAAGTTAAAGTTTATGCAAATGAAGACGAATCTATATCACATATAAAACCTCCTTCACGGTCATGTGTTCTATTGTGTTTCCTTCGTGAATTATTAATGAGTTTTTTTAAATGGTAATATCGCTGAACACTTGTCCATTTTACCATTTCCATTTTTATTCCCCATTTCCCATTCCAAATAGTTCTTCATAGTCCATTGCCCATTCATTGTTTTAGTTATCAACATCCACTTACAATACATTTTATTATTTTTCCCCAGCAATTTCATTCAATTCAATTCAATTAAGTTTTATCTTTTGTCACTATATTCCACACTATTCTTCACGTTACTATATTCATACCACGTTTTTTTAAATTAAAACGTTTTAATTATTATTATTATCATTATTATTATTATTATCATTATTATTATTATTATTATTATTATTATTATCATTATTATTATNTTATTATTATTATCATTATTATTATTATTATTATTATTATTATTATCATTATTATTATTAATGTTTTAGCTTGTAATGTTTTGATATACTTTGTCTGTAGTACCGCATGTACAAGCTACGACATAGATCACGAACCAAACCCTCACCATGGAAAATAGGTGACACTGCTGGTATTGTTACATTAGAAGGAAATAACCAAGTATGCAACATATTACAGATAGTTGATGGACATGTCCCAGAAGGATATAAGGTAAAAAAAAGTGTGTTAAAAATATCGCTACAAAATTATTTTTCAGATGATTTTTAGTAAGAGTGAAATGATGCGCCGGTGTTCACTAATGCAACCCCTCATTCTCTCACCGGGCTAGTCCTTTTATGTGTTTTAGGACTGCTTGCTTTTGATCTTTTAGCGATTTCTATGGGTCCCTAAATTCCATTCAGATCACGCGTAGCGAAAATTAAGTAAATGCTAGTCCTTGGCTCGGGATCCATGGTCGAGGACATGACAGTATTAAACCAATGAGATGCGTTCTTTAAAATACCCTTGATGCCTGATTTAACAGCAATAATTAATTTGGAAGATGTGCTTCTACATGCAGAGCATTTGCAAATATGGCTTAAATTATTTTTTTCTGCATATAATACATCAATTCCCACCTCTCTCTGATTTCTTATCTCTGGTCTCTGCAGTTTGCTAAAGGGGAAACATTTGATACTGGGAGCCCAAGTTACATTGATGAACCATCGTCCAACAAGGCTCACTGTGTGGCTATTGTCATCAACGCAAATTCCTTGCCTAAAATGTCCGATAATGAAAAAAAAATGTTGCAAAGTCTAAGAAAAGGCTTAATGCGTAGAGGTAAATATATCGCTTGACTTGTAAGACGTACGCTAGCTAGCTGCAGCAATCTTAAGGGCTACCACGTCCCAAGAAAGGTCATGCCTGAAATAGCTCTGTATTCCTTCAAGCAATCTTTGGCGCATGCTCTGGTTTAATTTCGACATTAGCCGTGTACGAGCTCTGAAGTAATTGGTGGGTTGCAAGCATTTCCAAGAGAGTTAAAAGACAAAAGCATGGCGGCCATTGTGGTATCGTTAACAATGGATGCTAATAAGAAATSTTTTGTTAAATGGCACCAACATGGCCGCGATGACGTAACGCGCAATCGAAGAATATTTCAAACACGCGAGAGAGTTCTTCCTTTGATTTCTAAACACCGAAAAGTGAGCTGAAAAAACGAGGCGCAGCCGAGTTTTTTAACTGACTTTGAGGTGTTTGAAAATCAAAGGAAGAACTGTCTCAAGTGTTTCGAATTAATTCTCAAACTCATGAATATTTCTTGGAGAAAATCAAAGAAAACGTTTACGAAATTTAATGCAAATTAAGAACACATTTCCAAACCACCGTCACCGTCTCCTCATGAGTTTTAGAACAATGATTCAACTGTTTTGGCAAATATAATCACACAATTACAGGTCAAAGAAAACATACGTAGCGTATTACAAAAAGTCCTCGACCTTACTGCTCGACCCCATGTTCAACAATGTCACGTTACTAAACAAAGGAAACCCAGTACCATCTATCTCTGTTTTCCAATATCCTCATTTATTCAAGCTCTGTACTCATTACGTCTCATCATGTCACCCTTCACAATTAATTTTTACTCAATTACAGGTATTCCTACGTACGTCTCACTCGCTTTTATCGACATTGCATGCAAGGAAGTGGGAGAGGATTTGACAAAAGTCTATTACAGTGTTCTCGTTAAGGATCTTGTTTTAAAAACTTCTAAAATGTTGCTGAATCTTCCAATAAGCAACATACTACCCGTTGTGAATTATAAGCATCAAACAGAATTGGACAACAACATGGACATTTTACTGCTGAATGCCTTCAGTCGACTGATTGGTGGTAATATATACATGTTATGACTACTTACCAAATGATCGAGCCTAGTTATGATTCCTTTTTGAACTATTATAAGATCACTATTATAAGATGTTGTATGCGTAAGAATTTCGAAAATCTGAAACTGATTGGGTCTCAGTCAATCGACGCAGCCCAACTTGAAAGGCAGGTAGTTTGTCACTTGCCGCAATACAGCAAGGAATTAGGTACATGAGAGAAGACGAAAATAAACTAGAGGGGAAATAATGAATAAACAAAATAAAAGAATAATGAAAGTGACCTGGCCGACTAAACGGATGAATAAATTATAATTAATTCAGTAATGAACGGACGGAAGGACGGAGAGAGATTAAGAAATTGAATGTCGAACACAAATTCATGATGTTTAATATGGGCTTTCCTTTTTCATTCATATCTAGCCAAAGAACGTAAATTCAAGTAAGTAGATATAATTCATATAATTCTTCCAAAAAATTTTTTTCCGTAAAGAAACTTTAAAGCTGAGAGAGTCTGGTAGAGGATATGTGAAGATACATTTAACCTGTTACAAAGAGCTTCTTGACAATTAGTTATCAATTGACACGGTTTTCTTTGTTATTCATAAGGCTTTATTTTTTTACAACCCTCATAAACAATGGACAAACTTAAAGCCCGGGGAGGGAATTGAAATGCAGCAGGGAAGAGCGGGGCTGATATGAATTAATCTGATTGGCTCATTATGAATCGAAGGTCAATATATAGTTATAAACCCGGTTTATAACTATATATTGACCTTGAATTTATAATGAGCCAATCAGATTAATTCATATCAGCCCTGCTCTTCCCTGCTGCCTGACGAGTAAACTATCTGGGGAATAATACTATTCTACAGAACTAATCTAATTAATGTTTACATTCAAAAAAACTATAGAGGTATGTTTTCTAAACATTACATTATCAAATCGTTGCTAGTGCTCAYAGTTTATGTGTTAAAGTTTACAACACAGTTTTTAAAATAATAATTCTTACAAACTGGGTTTTGCTCATCCTTTTCACTACATTTCTTCTTGTTTTCCTGGCCGCCATTATCGAGATCTTCATTAGGTCTTTTTGCCGTAGATGTTACCTCCACTGTCAAAGCACTTGGAAATTGCTGTCTTGACACTTACACTTGGCCTTTGGTATTTTTGAAGGCTTCTTTCATCTCTTTGCCCGGTTCGTTCCAACTCCATTGCCATACAGCCACATGTGATTACGAAACCCTAAAATCTATGGTTTTCTATTATCATCTGCACTTTTGTTTAATTAGCATCATAGATTTCCAGAACWTTAAAACTATGTGCCACATTACCTCTGTAGGGACTAGAGGGCATTAGTAAATCCCTTTATAATCAACTCACATTGTTCATGCTCTATAGACAACAAGGGAAATATAAAAACAAAGCGGAAAATGTTTACCCTTTTGCATACATTCTAAACTTCCAACTGAACCACGAATATTTTTTTAAATTCTTTTTATTTTCATTATCTTAAAAGTCTAACATCAGAATATTATAGAAAACCTTCTTAATTGATAACTAAAATAGTTAGTTACCTCGAATGTCGGCAATAAGCCATATACATCCCGAGGGCCGCAGGCCCTCGGGATGTATATGACTTATTACCTCCGTTCTCGGTAACTAACTCTTACTTAATGGACCTGGTATTTCTTACCATTTATGGTTTTACTTCCTATGAGCATCCAAAATCTATACGTTTTTGATGTGAAATGTTTCCCATGATTTTCAGACAGTGTTTTATATAGTGTTTATCAAACGAGAATTGTCATATTAAGTTTAAAATCACAATAAGAAGCCACGTTCTGTAATCTCCTTTTTTGGTTTTCTAAACCGCTACTTTTCGCTACTAATAGTCTATCATTAATTTGACCACATGTATCTCAGCCAGGGGAGAGGCGGAGGTAACTCCCACAAATTGAGGACAGAATGATACAAGTGATCGATGTTGTTTTAAAGTGTAACGCATTGTAGCATGAAGATGTTTAAATGGGATTTTTTTTAATGGGAGGGGGTTTTTTTAATTCTTTTTTTTTTTCTTTCTGGTAATAGGAAGATGAAGTGTAAGATTGCTGATGCTGCACCAGTAACCACTTCAGGCGTAGTCCTGCCTTACTATAACATCTTTATTCTGGGACAAATAGGTTCAGGAAAGTCGACTTTCTTTAATGGGATCAATGCCATCCTCACGAACCGAATGTTGACGACCAAAGCTGAAGCTGGAGAGATGGCATTTAGTTTGACAAAAGAGGTAAGATTGATCCAATTCATGGTTCTCTCTCAGACAGCAGCAAACCAATCAGCTTTTCAGCAATTTTCCCAGTGGAATTAAATTCTTGCCCCACAAACAACTACACAGTATATGTTTTTTAGAGCACTACAAGAATTGTGGGAATTTATTTTATTCTAATTTCCAACGGACAGTTAACAATGGAAACGATTTATATAAAATTTCAAGCTAATGAGCTTGTGGGACATAGGAACGGCAACTATTAAAAGGGGAACCATGAATTGAAGAAAAAATAGTTCTTCATCAGGCTTACGAGCCAAATGTGTATGTTTCTAATATATATAACTGTATCCTCTTCAATGTACCCTTCTAATTTTCCGTTTTGTTTAGTTTCGTATGTACGAGATAAAAGCACCGGGGGAGGAAAAGGTATCGTCAACGAGAATATGCGACACTTTTGGTCTCAAACAAAATGCTGATGATGATACAGACGTCCGAAACGTGCTAAGTGCCATAAATGGACACGTGCCTGATAAGCATTTTGTAAGTTGCCTTGCCTTGCCTTGCCTTGCCTTGCTTTGCTTATTGCTATCCGTTTTAATTTCGTCTATCCATTAATCTAGTTCACCGACGATGAATTCCATCAAGATAGCCCAGGCTATATCGCTTTGCCAACATTGGAAAACAGAGCACATTGTGTTGGCATTGTCATTGATGCACAGAAAGTTTCTATCATGCACGATAATATGTGGAGGAAGCTTAGAAGTGTCTACACAGCTGTAACGAACCGAGGTATATGTTTAATGTACACCAGAAGATGATTAAAGTATAACTTATAAGTTCAAAACTATAACCGGTATTGTTACCAATTTACGCCATTTATCGGAAACTTTAGCCAATCAGGAGAGAGCAGAATGGTATCATATCAACCAAATCAACCAATCCCAACGTTTTAAGTGAAGTGTCTCCCCGATTAGTAGGGCACTTGTGCCCGGCTAGAAGAAATAGAGACATTAATAAAGTTATTATTATTATTATTATTATTATTATTATTATTATTATTATAGTGTTTGTCACATGCTATTTACAGAATTGTTGCAAAGCGCCATCTCTCTCTCTCTCTCTCTCTCTCTCTCTCTCTCTATATATATATATACAATTAATTGATGTTTGTGGTTACACATATATGTGTGTATGTGTGAATGTGTCGTTTTTTTTTCTTTCTTTTACTTTTTCTTTCTCTTCTTTTTTTTCTTCTCTCGTTTGTTTGTTTGTTTTGTTTTTGTTTGTGCTTTTTGTTTATTGGTTGTGTAAATAAACTGACAAAACATAACAGAAGGGATTCTGGTACATAAGTTAATGCACTTGTGTATTTATGAACGACCTCTCATTCCATACAATCTGCCTTGTACTTGTTAACCATAATAATCTAAAAGCCTTGTTCGTATCTTTCTCCCAGGCATTCCTGCTAAAATTCTACTGATGAAGATTGACTTGGTTCTCGGCGACAACGAGAGCATTGAAAACATCCACAAAAACAAGAAAGTGCGTCATGTGAAGCAGGTTATTCAGAAGGAACTGGGTTGCGGCGTAAACGAAGGAGACATGTTTCCAATCAAGAATTACGTCCACCATGTAGAATTTGACGTGGATATGGATATATTGTTGTTGGATTCCTTGCTCAAAATGTTGATGTGCGCTCAAAAGTATTTGGAAAGCAAGTAAATGTATAAATACTGAGCTATAACACAAAATATATTAACAGGTGATTTCTTAGATTTACAATGCTGAATGGATCAAGCATAAATGATTATATTCCTATCAATACATTATAACCTAATTCTAACAATATAAAACGAAATCTAATGAAGGAAATAACAAGTTTAAGGGCGTCGAATTTCATATAACCTATTGTTTGGATTCGTTTGCATTAGATTTGGCACATTTGAAGTTCGAAGCTTAAACTAGGCCTTAATTAGATTTTCATCTAGTACATCTTGTAATCATCCAATTTTTTAAAAATATAATCTAAAATGATTGGCAGAATAGCCTATGAGTGGTTAGAACGGAAAAGATCAAGGAATTGTTCTTCTCATGTTTTATAGCTGCGATGAGGAAAACCTGATGGATAGGGTTCCTTGATAAAAGTAAATGGTTTGAACCCGTTGGGTGTTGAAGTTTGTTGAGAAGTGTGATCAAGTCAAGTCAAGTCAAGTTTATTTCACACACAAAATTGCAATACAAAAATAAAGGAATAATTAAATAGAGTTGAACAGTTATGAAAAATACAGAATAAATATTTACAAAGCGAGATCACGTTTAGTGCGTATGGCTGTTGAAAAAGTATAAACTATCGAGTCAACAGCCATCCATTATCAAGTATTAAGAGAATATTTAATGCATTGACCAAGATGGTGCATTTTACATTAAATATTGTTTATCACTTTTGTGAGTGAATGAGATAAATTTTCATTCGCTTTTTGAATGTTTGAAAGGAATTAACTTTTTTTCATAGGAGTTGGAAATTCTTCCCAAATCTTAGAAGCCGAGAAATTAAATGTAAATTTACCATAGTTGGTATTGATTGATGAACGAACAACATCACCTTTAGAGGCATATCTTGTATTATGAGAATGTTGCTTACTCATCAGCTTAAGTATATCTTTGAATATATGAGGTACTTCAGATTATTTATAACTCATGATGTGTAAGTAATGCTGATCTTAGTTTTAAAATGTTACTGAAGGATAGTAGCTCTAACATATTGTAAAAGGGAGATGCATGTTCTCTCATATACCACAAAAAAACATGCATCTTACACATTTGTTCTGGATTGTGCGGATTTTTTCCAAATTTGTCTTATATGTGCAGCCCCAAGAGAGTATACCATAAGAGAGGCAGGGATAAATCAAAGAATAGTAGACAATTCTTAAGGTTTTTATGGAAGCATAGTACCGTAAAATCCTTAAAATTCCTATGTTTATAGATATTTTACTATGTAAAACTTTTATTTGATGTTCCCAATGAAAATGCTGGTCTATAAAAACCCCTAGATATTTAATGTATTGTTTTGGTTGTAAGATTTGGATTCTAAAATCATTTCCTATTTTTCTGGGTGGCCTTTAGAAAGGACTTCACTGCAGTTGTGATGCTGTGAAATAGATGCTGAGCGTGATATTTATATTTAATTAGTTTGGAAATACTTTTGTTGAATAAATACACGATAACAATATTTTTGTATATATTTGTTTAATCATTGCTAAAGGCCTTGACGTGACGCTCTGACACAATCTTGTCCAGCTCACTGTTTGAAAGTGATGCAAATCTTGACGTTTTATTACTAGGCTGATCAAATGACAACTCTATACTAAATGTCGGAGATTGATGAGTATTTTCGCTAGTTTTTTCAATCATTTTCAGCTATCTTTTCTAGGTAAATTGTCAGCAAAAATATACAAAACGTTTTTTTTTTCGCCGAAGCAAAAAAAGCTGACGTGAGCGTGCCACCCAAAGGCAAATGGTTCATGCTTTTCAACCAATCAGATCGCGCGGATTTACTTGACTATATTATAAACCAGTTATGTGTATGCATGAGAGGGTGGGTCCCAGTACGGACCCATGTGGTACTTTGTAGCTAATTAATCTTCTATCAGATGTTACTCCATTACACTTTACAAACTGCTTCCCGTCTGTGACATAGATCTGGAACAATCTGAAGGCGGTGTCTGTGAAACCAGAATGTTGTAACTTGTTAAGTAGTAAAGAATGATCAATAACACTAAATACTTCAACAACCACACACACATACACTTTCGCCTTTGTATTATTTGTAAACTTGTTATTTACAATTGGTTATTCTTATGAAAGTTTTATCATTTTGTAAATTAAGTAGCATCCTCGAGCTCAATGAAATTAAGCTTTGAAGCCGTTTAATCATGTGTTATTAATAATAATCATGTACAGTTTGTCAAGACTAATCTATTTTTGTCTGTTACTCCATGCAGCATGACCCTATAAGGAAATGTTTTTTCCCCCACGATGCTTAATATATGCATGTTAGGAATTTCTATAATTGTTATCCATAGTTACAAAAACTAATCAACTAATTAACTAATGTACGCTTTATTCACCAGATTATGGGCAGCCTTCAATTTCTAACTTCATGTGATATTAAGCAATTCGGAACGATTCGGTTAGATTTGAAAGGTACACGGCATACTCGTAAATGTGATTTATGTTTGATGTAATATTTCAAAACCGACAACGAGTACTGGACGGGATTTCATGCAAATCCAAGCAATTAGTTCCAATCCGAGGCGCAGACGAGGACTGAAACTAATTGCGCGGACTTGAAATCCCGTCCAGTCTGATATTGGAGGCTTTGAAATGTAAAAGTGATTTATGTTTGATGTAATATTTCAAAACCGACAACGAAGACTGGACGGGATTTCATGCAAATCCAAGCAATTAGTTCCAATCCGAGGCGCAGCCGAGGACTGTAACTAATTGCGCGGAATTGAAACCCCGTCCAGTCTGATAATGGAGGCTTTGAAATGACTTCTCATGCTCATTAATCATTCCACTTGCAGTAGCTGGAAAGAAATTTTGTTCCAGTTACTACAGACTGAGTTCAGTCCTTTCACAGGACTTTACCAGTTTTTAAGTAACATCATGTGACCATAAAAATAGCCCATTGATGGGCTGGTTTACTCATAAATTATTAATGAGTATGAGAATTTAATTTCCTGTGGTGGTATGTATATGTGGTAGATTAATAACATTATTTAGAACCTAATCCATGACCCAAAAAGAAATATGGTGTTTACATTTAATAGAACATCCTAGCATTCCAACAAAGTATATTTAACTTTTCCAAGAAATTGATAATGTTTGACCAACTTCGCGCAAACGTTTAGCGATATTGATTTACACTATGATGTCTATGTCAAGGGGTCAGCATAAGTATTTTTAAGTAAGTTTTCCAAGACATCTTTCATGTTTGACTGACTTTGAAAACTTTTAGTCATTTTGATTTCCATTTTGATGTCTATGCCTAAGCGTTAAGTACTGTTAAACCAAACGAGAATGCGTTTATCACGCTCTAACCACAATGCGAAGCAAGGGACTGGGAAAAAAAAACAAACACGATCTTGGAGTTTATTAATCGACTTCAAAACTTGAAAAATTCACTGATAATTTAAAAGCGGGCACAAACTCTAAAAGTCTATTTCAACGGCATATTTAWAAAAAAGTATTATGATATGAGTGATATGAGTTTCCACTATGCACTAGGAGGCCTGTACTATTTAAAAAAATAAACTATATTTTTTATGAGAATTTTATTTAATAATTCTTTTTTTTTTTTTTTTTTTTTTTTTCTTAATTCGTGCTATTTATATGCCTATTTATAAGCAGGTTAATAGAGGAAATATGGTAATGACAAACGGTTAGGAATTTATACTTTCACGATGTTCAATTTACTTATGTTTATTACATTCGCTCAAATCAAAACCACGATATCACGGGGTGATGGGCTGCGGATACCAGGCAGCCTCGAGGGATACAGTCGATTCACTAAACGTTGTCGTCGACCGGCTCAAGCCTACGCGACTTGACCGAAAGGAATATGGGTAAAAATCAATGAAGCACTTAAATACTTGTTCTGAATTGATTGCTTAGTGGTAAAGATAATTATGGCGAGCAAGAACCCATTAAATGTGCTTGGGGTTTAACCAAAGAAAAACTAAGTATCTATKATTCATTTCACAATTAATTTCGAAAATGGGAAGGCATTAAAAAAACGTTTCCAGCACTTTCCGCTCGAGCTCGTCCTRTAAACCATAAGCATAATTAATCAGATAAAACTATGCAGTCAATCGCTTCAGTGATTTCTTCCCAGATTTCCTTTCGGTCCAGTCGCGTAGGCTGGTCGACGACAACGTTTTTTGAATCGACTGTATACATTTTGGTCAAGGCACACACACACACACACACACTTATTTTCGTCTGTATAATAACTGTCTTGTTACAGGTTCCTATACATGTCTGCCAGTTGAATAATCTGTTGATTTAATAAAAACTGTGTGTAATACAATATTTAGGTTGTAAAAATGAATACATTTATAAAAGTTTACAAGACTGATCTATATTTGTCTCTTACTCCAACATAACCTTATTAGGAAATGTTTGTATCAGAGTACTTAACTTAAGAATTTCGGAGAACTTATTTCTCAAACTTGCAAAATTACCGAAGTAAAGTTAAAATAAATAGAACTGTAGATATCGTTCAAATTGACCAATTCCACCAATTTCTGCTAATTTTCAATCATCTACATTTAATTTGGAAGCCTTCACCCTTTCCTTTTTAATTTTGTGTTTTTGGATGAATTTAACATAGTTCTAACTTCTCATATAATGTAATGTATCCACTCTAGGAAAGACCAAAAACTATACTCAGAAGATTAAAATAGCTTTGTAAACGTACACATTTATTTGTAAACATTTTTTTCTTTCAATTCTTATTCTGTGGTGACATGTGGTATATTAATAACATTTCTAAGAACCTAATGAAATATTCATGCATTAACCCCGACGAGAAGTGGTGTTTACAATTTATAAAGTTTAGTTTAACTCCTCTTCGCTCATTTGAAAACATAGAAATTCATCGTTGTCATCCAAATACATCATTTTAGGCAATTGATAGAATACGTCCCCCCAAAAAAAGAAATAATTTTTTCAAACTTTTCCAAGAAATCAATCATGCCTGACTCTTTTAAAAACTCTTTAGCTAAATTTTTATACTTTCTTTTTTGACCGTTGCAGTCGCTCTTTGCTGCAATTTAATTATAGCCGTTTTATGATAAGAATAGACACCATATTGACTTTATATTTGTAAATTCCTTGGGGGAGAAATGACGTGATGTATAATCCATTTTATTTTTTTATTTTTGTGTCGGCCGATTTTAACAACACAATTTAACAACAAGACATTAGCTACCATTAACGAAAATCATTTACTAGAGCTCTTAATTAATTCCACGAGTCTTTTCATTCCTTTTTTGTTCTCGGGGTGTTCGTATAGTCCCTCGTCGTCGCTATGAAATGCAAAATGGACGATTCTTTCTCTCTCTCTCAGTTTGACATGGCGTTCTTCTTCCAGGAGGTTATCATCATATGAGAGAGTACGATCTTTAAGAGTAAATTTTCGCTTGAAGTGAACAAGGACAAGAATAATGTTGTCATCTGCAACGGCAGAAGAAACACTGCTCAACTTCATATGAACAAGCAAAAAATTACTACACTGAAGATTTGGTGTGATCAATAAAAACAGGCAGTATAAACAAAACCAGAACCGAACATCTATGAATCGCCAGTGAGTCTCAAATATACCTCTGGCTATTTCAAAGGCTTCRAACTGCATATACAATAAATGATAAAGGATATTTACCTTTATCAATTCCTTCTACAATGACTTCATCAAGTGCTACATTGATGTCTTCTCCTATACGGGACGTTAAGAAACAAAACACCAGAATAGGGATTGATTTTTCTAAATCTTCTTTCCCAATAATAGATCTTTTAAAGGTTAATCCATATAGGTTTGTTTCTAAACAAAGCTTTTTTTCTAGTTTTGAAAGAACTTTCCTCTGGGCATTTTCTCGATCATACTTTGGTATCTTGATGGCATAGCGCTCTAAAAAATCAAGAAAGCAAATAAATGTACGGAGAGACAAATAACCAGACAAATATAGACGAAAACAAAACTCAGGAATAAGAAGTATAATCAAAGAAAAAAAAAACAAAGATCATTTAGGAAAATAATATTTGATGATCCTACATCCATTCTAGCTTTCTTTGACATAAATAACCTCATTTACTCACTATTTTTTCGTTCTCTGAGCTCTAATTCATATTTTTCGGCCATGATGAAAAGGAYTCACCAGTTCATATTTATCGCCCAGAATATTATTCGTGAATCGCGAAACTAGTTGCCATTTAAATAGCGAACATTATTGTAAACCTTGTTTAAAGAGCAGAACAAAAAACAAAGCCAAATAAATTTATGCAAATGTAGGCAACCCATATTTGCACTTCTATAAAGCTCAAATTGACAATGCTATCGTTTTATGCATTTTGTCAGGGTTGCTATTTAAATAACCCTATCCCGGTTCTTTACAAAATGAGGCACTTCGCTAGTAACTGAATCAAATGGCCTTTTTGCAGCTAGCTAAGTACTGTTACTGCGTTAGAATTGACAACACAGGTTGTTTTTTTTTGTTCCTTAATGAGCTCTATGTCAAATCTAATAAAAGGGAAATTATATATTATGTAATTGATTTGTTTTATTGGACATTTAATGTTGCATCAATGCTAGTAGCTCTGAAATCATGTTTGCTTCTTTTTTATTCTTTGCTTTTAACAATAATCCTAACACAGTATCGATTCAAACAAGAAAGCATATACAAGTTCTTTTATTTCCTCTTTGATTTGGTGATAGTTATACACAACACTACATATACTTATTTTATTTAAAAATGAAATAAATATCAAATTAGCTAAGGCCTTTTTAAAGCGATTACAGATGATGACTGAATGATTGGGTTTGGTTTAGCTTTTGAAAAAGTCCACGAGTTTTGTCGTCCCTTGGGAGKTTTGTTCGTGTTCGTAGAGCCCTCCATCCCTTTCATCAAAAGCAAAATGAGTGATTCTGTTTCTTTTCCTTAGATCAACATGATAGTCATCCTCAAGAAGATTTTCCTCCCTTGATATATTATCGAAGTCAAGTTGAAATTTACGCTTGAAATGAATAACCATGAGCATGACATTGCAACCTGTAAATGACACAAATCAAAACAAGTATCAAACCATAATGAAAAAAGGTTGGAAAAGCGCCAGATGAATTAAAATTCTCAATAAAAACATATTGTGGTTTTAATAATTTATATACAAACCTCGATCGATTTCTGTCAATGCATCGTCAATGTCTTCTCCAATTCGCGACGTCAACAAACAGAAAACCAGAACAGGTATCGAACTTGTTGAAGCCTCACTTACACTACGTTCACATGCAAGGTAAACGTTGCTCCATCTTAGGTCTTTTTTCAGCTTTGATAATACTTTACTACAAACTTCACCAGGATCATTACTTGGTACTTTCAAAACATAGAGTCCTAATACATATTTAATAAAAATTAGAGATCTATAGCATTATAAAAAATTACTGAATATATAAATACGTTGTAATGCTACAACATTAGCATAAAAAACTGGTCATGATCTTACGCTGTTGAAGTTCATTCCCTTTTAACTTGTGGTAACACCAGAAAAACAGTCCTTCAACTTTGATGTATACATAACCTAAACAATTATGCACTTTCCTATACATCCAAATTATCGCTGAATAAACGTTTCTATATATCCAACGTATCGCTGAATTAACTTTCCTGCATATCCAACCCATCTTTGAATAAACTATATTTTGGATTGCATGAGTCAATTACACGTCCGTTTGGGGTGAAATAGCAATGGGATGTATTTTCACCTCGGAATAAATTCGCCTTGCCTTGCTGAATTCAATAAGTATTAATGACATTCAGGTAAAGTAAACCCCATCATGTGTCCCTCACCTGATTTAACGCTACTATGAATTTTTCAATGAGGTTTTGCCTCATCAACCAATCGTTCACATGTTGTAAAGTGTTTCTTTTAATATAATAGCCTATCACAAGAATGATTGTTAGTTGGCATTTTTAATCGTTCCCGATCTTTTCCGAAGTTTCTGGTCAGTGTAGCACCTATTAAACAAGTGTAAGCAATTGTAGGCAATAAAATACGGACGACAAGACAAACAGCCTTTTAGGGTGAGTAATCGGGGGGGAAAACAGTTGTTACCACTCTTTTCATTGCTACATGCACTTCCTTCAATCAAATAAATTTGTTCGGTTATACCTTTACATTCTCTGTTTGGCGGCAGTGTATTGACATATTTCCCTGTTGCGACTGTTGTCTCGATCAGCGCGTAGCATTCAAAAGAGTGGTAAGCAGAATCAGATGCTACCGAGACGTAAAAAAATTTTTTTCTTTTCCTTTTGTTTTTTGTTTTTTGTTTTTTTGTTTTGTTTAATTAATTCTCAGATCAAATAAAAAGAAGACAAGCCTCCAAGGAATATTGCCCATTTTTTCTTAGTAATTCTGTCAAAATGGGTTCCGGGTATGTATTCATTTGAAGCATTATAAATCAATGATATATGTTATTCGCAAGATTTGAAATTTTTGATAAGGTAAGGAAAGGCATCGAGATTAAAAAGAGGTGGAGCAACAAAAAGTAAAATTGACAGGGCATGTCAAACGAGAACTGCATTAGAAGGGCTTCCTGTACGTGCCACAAGTCATGTATGTTTGAGTCGCTCTAAAAGAGAGGGTTTAATTTATTTTTGAATGAATTAAGCTACAGTTAAAGTTTTCTGAAATACAAGCTAGCAAAAGTGAGGCTTTCTTTTGCAAAACATGTGAATACAAAGCAGAAAAGGCATGAATAGAAATCCTCAAGAGCTCAACATGAACTCATGAGAAGAAAACTGTCGTACTTCAAACTTCTTTTTAGACTTCAAGATATTTACAACCAAGGTGAAAAATGCTACAGCCTTCCGTTTGTTTTCCTGTCTTTTCTTGTGACAAAAAAAATAAATAATAATAATAATAATAATAATAATAACAATAATAATTCAGAATCTTTCCGGAAATGAATTAAAAGCTTTGGAAAATTACGGCTCGCTAAACATGGATAGTTTTTCGTCACTTTTCAACGTTTTGGCTGATCATGAAGACACACTTTCGACTCACTTAAAAAAGGTACTGCCCACTCTCCTACCCACAAATGCATCTGAAATTTAAGTGAGAATAAAATATTGCTGAAATATGGAAATACTTCAAAGCGGATGAGTCTAATGAGAAAATCGCTAAAACCAAGAAACCACTGGCTTCTAGATCTTCACTCTATGGATTCAGATAAGTTCAAACTTGAAGTTGTGAGCTTACTGAAATAACAAATTTACGTTAATTCTTCTTGTAAAACTATCTTTATATATTTCATTCACTGAATTGGCTATTTGCCACCCTTTATTTCGTAGTTTTATCTAGTTTTTTTGTTTAAATACAAAATCGCTCAACTAGTATCGTGTAGAGCCTTGCTCGAAAAAGTTGTCGCTTTTATAGAGGAGCGCTCCCGCGCGGGCCAATACTTAAGAAAAAATGGTAAACCATCAAGTTGATTTTTGATGGCTTGACTACTACGTCACTTCCGTCTGCCGTCCGTACGTGTTCGTGTACACAACACAGGAATCCCGCTTGATTTCAAAGCAAAACTACTCGGAAATGCACAGAAAACATTGCTTTGGGACAAATTATAGATCAACATCAGATTTAAAAAACTCCCATGTAGTCAAAGATGGATCAAGAAATATTATTCAAGAATTCAGGTGTGTATATTTTAGCAAACAATCGCATATTTTTACTTTCTATGACAAGCAGTTTTTTTCGACAAATCAAAGACTTTCTCTCAAAACTTTTAATATTTCCATAAATAAGCTTAAATTATTTTAATGCTGAATTTAATATAAAAAGGAGAGCATATCACAACGAATATTCGCCTTTTATGTAGCTCTATAAATCTTCATAAATTCGGTTTTTTCATATCAACCGATCGTATATTTTTCCGGCGTTCAAGACAAAAGCAGCTTCGTTCACCTCCTAACGCGCGGTCCTATCGGCAAACAAAAGAAGACTTTCATTCTAAAAGTTAGATATATTTATATAGATAATTTAATTAAATATTTAATTACATATAAAATTAAACCTCCCGCAGCACTACACTTAAAAAAATGGTAAACCTTCGAGTTGATTTTTCATGGCTTGGCTGACGTCACTTCCGTCCGTCCGTCCGTCCGTCCGTCCGTCCTTGTACACGACACAGGAATCCCGCTTGATGTAAAACTACTCACAAATGCGGCTCTCATATGCACAACAAAATCGCTTTAGGACAAGTTATAGACCAAAAACAATTAAAACAATACTTTCATGTAGTCACAGATGGATAAAGAAGTGTTCTTTAAGAACTCAGGTGTGTGTTTTTATGCAAACAATTGTATATATATATATATTTTTTTGACAAGCATTTTTGTCGACGAATCGATAAATCAAAGACTTTCTCTCAATTTTTTTTATATTTCTATAGATAAGCATAATTTATTTTAATGCTGGAAGAATTATAACACGGACAGCATATTACGACAACAAATATTCGTCCTTTATTCATGTTCTATACATTTCATCTTGCTTTAACTAGTTTGATGTAGCTTTCTTCAGCTTTTCTAACATTACAACTACAATGCACTACAATATTATTTCATGCATCGTGGTTTTCCTCAATATAATACTAAAGAAATTATTGGATTATTCAGCTGTAATTGAATGCTATGCTATGTTCACAAAGGCGTTTGTTAGACTTAGCCTTCGTAGTGAAGCTCTTTTAAAGGGGAAGGGAATTGAGAGACCTAGGGTGGAGGCGAGGAGAGGATGAAGTATTTACAAGTATATATTCAATCAGACTCGTCGTCTTGAATGTCGAGAAGGTGCTGGTTAGAGTTACTGCAACCAGATCCCTTGCACTGACCACATACTGCGGAACACTGTAAGTTGTGTTTGCGGAAGGTGCATCTCTTGCTGCTACAGTCTGATGACGCATGATAATGACTCAGGCTCTGGAGGTAAATCAGTCATGACAGGTGCTACTTGGCCAGCATTTATCTTCCATCTCCATTCCGATAGTGCCCTATTCTTGTCTTCACTTCCACTGTTGGATCTGGAGGTATAATCTTAGGCTTGTGGAATTTCTAGCTTCGGAAGTAGGAGGGAGGCTGTGAGGACGAATCTGTGAAGTACTATTTGTCAACTTTGCACAGTATATGTTATATCTCAGGTAATCAAGCTTCTCGCCAGGCTTTCCATTGTAAAGGCATACCAACGCGTCATGACCAGCTGTTGTAATCTCCTCTTTTGTTGAAGTTGATGAGTGAAAGATCTTTGCTTGCTCGCGAAARTGTGGCGACTTCAGAAACATCTTGAGAGAAGCCCATTTCCCGAAACCATAATAGCGAGAAGTAGTATCGCAGCCGAGTATAGCGTGGATGAACCAGATATTCTTGCAGACGTCCATGCCTATCGGGGCCTGTACCTTCTTGATGTTCCAAGAACGCCGCTTCGTAGAATTCGTCTTAGGCTCTGGTCTGAAGAGTATATTATAGCTACTTGAAGGGGTGAAGTACAGTAGCAACACTAGCAAGTGAGTGTCGTCGCCGACGAGTATGTTAGTTTTCTCCTTGGCAGATACCACAGCCGTCTTAGCTATCAGGACATCGGCGTTGCCTTTGGAATTGCGGTGAAATGAGCAAACATTTTATGCTCTAATTAAATTCATTTTGCTTAACCATTCTTTCTTTTATTCTCGAACGTAGGATGGCATTTTTATTTCATAGAAAAGGAATCATAATCGTTCAAAACTATATTTATATTTATAGTCATAATATTATCATAACTCTTCAAACTTACGATTGCAGAGCATTATTTATTTTCATTTATTAATTAATTAAAGTGCAACAATGAAAAAATATATGCTTATTCTTATAAACACTTTATTCAGTCTAAATCAAGTTAAAGAGTTGCTTAAAGTGCAAGAATCAACTATCAAATCGTTTTTTGCGGTCTTTGTAGAATCAACGAACACGAGAATCGATAATCTAGTTAAAGAAGTTCCGTCTATTAAGACTAGGCTTGAACATAGTCAGGCAGAAATTGCTGATCTAAAAAAAAAAAAAAAACTGTCAAAAGAGGATAGAAACATTGGAAACTAACACGCTAATCCTTAAAGCAGACGACTTGGAAAATCGTTCACGACGAAATAATCTCTGCTTTGAAGGTATAGAAGAAACGAGATATGGCAACGAATCTTGGGAGGAATCTGAAGAGAAGGTCAAGAATCTAATCTCAAATCAACTGAATTTAGACACACAGGACATGGTCATTGAACGTGCCCACAGAGTGGGAAAGAAAAGATCTACTTCTGACAAGCCAAGACCAATTGTAGCAATTTTTTAAAATTATAAACACTGTGACATGGTCCTTAAAGAAAGAAGAAAATTGAAGGGATCGAAACAGATCGTTAGAGAAGACTTCTCAGAACGCGTTATAGAAATACGAAAAAACCTTCTTCCCAAGGTGAATGAGGCATGTAAAGAAGGAAAAGTCGCCTATCAGTTAAGCTACGACAAACTGATAATCAGACAATCGAGATTCCATCATGAAACCGCGCCAAGCCATCACGTCCACCAACCTTCTGCTCACAACGAACCGCCATTTGCACCACGAGGTTTTATCCCTCAACCAATGTTTATTCCTATGACACATATGGCTCCTATACCAGCTGGTTTTCGACCACCAAGCCCACATCTTCGATCGCCAAGTCCTAATTTCACCAATGTAACTGAACAAGACTACACACAAGAAGAAGAAAATGTCGAAGAATAAACAATTGGGACACTGCTTGATGACACATGTAAAGCTAAGTTAAATATTAAGAATCATAATTTAGTAATATCTATAATATATGAGTAGTATAGGGGATGGG